ATAATAAAAAAGAGTTAAAAAAATTACTATATAAATGCTTGATGGAATCTTTCCCTCCTACCATAGCTTTTGGAAGGTGCTTTCTCTATTAATTTAAAACTACCTGTGCAATTAAAACGTGCAATGCAAAAAAAAAGAAAAGTGGGCTAGATGCTTTAGCCTGAATGAGGTAGGTACAGTAGCACTAAAGAAGCAAAGCAAGTAGAAAAACTACTAAATAAATAAAAAAAAAATTGGATATTACAAAGATATTAGAATATATTTGTATGTCTCTGTATGTATTTAACCAACTCGTAACATGGTAAAGTTTCTTCTGTATGAATTAAAAGTAATAGAACGCCACCTCCCACAAAAGAAGAAAACAAGTTAGGGACAAAGATATTTATTATCTCTTTTCTGCTAACTCTTCTATACCTTAGTCATTGTCGTAACTTGAAAGAATTGGGCTTTATCCCAAAAGGATTCTGAAATTACAGTTCTGACCGATATTAGTGTCTAAGTTCTCTGGAGTAATGTGACATGCAACAGTATGGTTAGGAAAACGAACCATATTTATTATCTTTTAAAGAGATAAAAGCGAAATAAAAGTTGACTATTTCTTCGAAGGGCACTTGAAGGGGGTATTAATTTTAGAGGGATTTTTTAGTGATTATTTTAATGAGAATTGCCTAAGTAATAATTAATCTTCAGATGTTTCAAAGAATGAATTCTAATTTAAAATGAAAAATCTTGGCAATAGAAAATCTTGAAGGCAGAGAATTAAACTTAAAACAGCAATATTTAGAAAATTTTCAAGGATGAAAAATACTGTAGAAATTGAATCTGTATCATTTCAGTTTCACTGTTTCTTCTTTTTAAAGGATTGTGGTATTAAATTCAGAGTAGTAAACTATTAATTAATTACAGTGTTAGAATTTATGACTAGAGAAATATCAAGGAGTCACACCTTGTAATGTTAAAAATTCAGCAATATTCTTCTTCTGTTCAGCCTCTTTCTCCTAAAACCACATTTCCAATATAATATACATCACCCATTTGCTAAGAGCAAACTTGATCCTCCTGCTCCAAATTATAAGAACAGCAGCTTCAGTTTGGAGTCAGAGAACTTCCAGGACTAAACATGGCCAGTGAGAAGAACTAGTATAGCAAAGATCAGCTCTGTCATAGCAAACACCAAGGAAATGGCCAAATTTGTAAGTTTTGTATTTTACTGGATGCAATTCCAATACTATGTGGCATTACTGGCACTGAGGTTTGGAAATCTGTGATATAAAGAACATGCAAAGAAATTTATTTTCACAAATTTTTTTCTTGTGTGAAAATATGGAGCACTGGTGGCTGTGTGAAAATACTGTTGTCATTGTGGTTAGCTGCTGTTGAATCAAGTACAATTTTTGGTGATCCTATGAACAACAGTTCTGAATCCTGTCCTATCCTGTGCTAGCCTCACCATCTGATACCTTTGAGCCCATTACTTAAATCACCGTGTCAATCCATCTCATTGCGGGTCTTCTCTTTTGCTGACCTTTCCAAACTTATGTTTCTCTCCAAGGAATAGCCTCTCCTAGCAACTTGCCCCAAGTATGTGAGATGAAGCTTTGTTATCCTTGCCTTCAAGGAATATTCTGGTCATTTTCTCCAAGACACATCAGTGTAAGGAGTATAATAAAAATCTTTCAAGTTATTTTAAAAAGCTGGGCAGAAAATTCAATCCTACAAGTTAAGCTGATTTTCAGACACTTGCAAAGACAGAATCACTTATCTAATCAAAACTTTACCATGTTCCAAGTTGGTTAAATATGCATACATAAATATTGCAAAAATGTAACAAGGCTCACCCCTTAGGGATGACCTGTCACATACCTCTGACCACTAAGTATCAAACTCCTGGAATTTCTAAAACGACTCCTTTTTCCCCCTAAACAAACATATTTAAGGCAATAATCCAAAGGATTGACATTACTTGAACTACTTACCAATAAAATCTACTGATTTGTCCAACCATGGGAAAATTTTCTCACAAAAGCTATCATTCACAGGCACTCGCAGGAAATGCGACTCGGGGATAAAATCAGGCTTTGGACAGGTATTGCTGGCATTTAACACGTAACTAATCCCATTCTGTTGCATCAGCTCCTATGGAGGAGAAAGAGCAATTTAATATGACTATGGTATATTAATAAAATAATTTTGAAAGAGTAAAGCTTAATATATGATAAAAAACACCAAATTTCTTGAAACAGAATTCACTTGATCATTAACTTTTAAAAAGCAGCAAAATATTTAAAAGCTTAAGCTTAAAGGAGAATTTTTAAAGGACAAAACAGGATGTTTACAATAGTATCCTTGGAGATCACTTATCATTCATTAACTCAGTCAACTCTCCATCCTCTCTATTGTTAGAGACATGGAACAATATAAAGTAAAACCATAATTTACTATAATTTTAGGATATATGCACACACACTAAAACATTTTACTTCCCACAAAGAACATAACAGTTCTTCTCTAAGATGCAGTTCTTCTCATTTTAAATACTCTTTGAAAGTTTTATCTATTTTCATAGCTTTAATTATCAATTCTAAATGCTAATGACTATTAAGTTCATGTACGTATTCATACACACCCAGACAAACATCCTCTTAAATTCTCAATCCATATTTTGAATTATCTACTAGGTATTTCTATTTGGATGTACAAGAGGCTCTTCAAAATCAAAACATCAGAAACCAAACACTATTTTGATTCTTTAATTACCCCAAAATTCTATATATTGTCTGTTAGAGCAAAACTGGTGTGGTAACAATAAGCAACCACGCCTCCAGCTACAAAGCACTGACTTCGTTTCTCTTCCTCAAAGTATTTCCAAGTGGTTGCCAAATCCTTTTGGTTTAGCCTCATTCATTCATCCTCTTCTCTTCATTCCCAGTCACTGATCAGTCGTGAATTCTCACCAAGGGAAATAAGAGGGCCACTAGAGAATGGTCAAGTCTGTAGTCTTACCCTCTCCAAACCATACTGTGAACATCTAGAGCAATATTAACATAAAACATAGGCTAAAGTACTTTATCTATACTTGTTATTAGATCTTATTAGGGAGCTCTGGTGGCTTAGTGGAAATGAGTTGCACTGCTAACCCAAAGGCACGAGGGTTGAATCCAGTAACTGCTCTATTGGAGAAGCAAAGACATTCTCCTCCCATGGAATTTCCTACCTCTGAAAACACAGTGGACGGTCAGCTAAGAGCTGCTTCTGACTATGGTACACAACAGCAATTCTATGTTTTGAATGTTCCTGTTTCTCCTGATGACTTTCTTTTCACTTTCCCTACTTCTCATTCTGTCTTTCCAAAGTACTCCATTCAACCATTAGAAAAACACCTTCCACAGTAAATTTTAATTAGCTGTTAATCCTTAACTCCTTATTAGGTAGTGAAACAGTGAATGAGATCTTGGACTAGGTTTTATCTGTTTGTCTACCTTCAGCACCAAGTACACAGTTTCAATCAACACTTGTTTGTTCAAATGACCTCCATCTACCATTAACCAGGCATGCCCATACAACCTTGCTTCGGTTAGTCATCTCACAGCTGCCCCTAAGGAAATGCTCTAAGCCTGGAGAAATTCTCTTCTTCTAAGCAATGTTGGTCACCTAATTTTGGATGCTACCATTGCAACAAATCTTTCCAACTACCTAACAGATAGCTGGTAATTTTACCCTACTTTAAGAAACATGCATGTACCCTAGTTTCTTCATTCACCCCCTCCAAAATACGCTTGGCACAATAAATGTACATTACATATGATGAAAGATGAATGTAAAAATCTGACTGTATATATAGCCTTCCTGCAACTCTTAGATGTGTCAAGAAATAGGTTATGGAACTGGGCTGACCTCATAGCTTGACCAATGCTTATCAGCTGTGTCAGAACCCAAGCCTTCTGATGATCTCATAAGCATCTATTGAGTTAATAATTGGGCCATGACGATCTCAGTGGTGTTTACTGCAACCTTTAAACTTTTGTACACACAGCAAAGGTCACATTTGTTATGAACCAAAGCTACACTGAGTGTCATGTGACCAATCCCAGGGTACAGAGACTGGTTCAGTATTTCACTTGCAAAAACAGTGGTAGACACTAGAATTAGATCAGTATTGCCAAGCCTTTTAAATAAATGATTCTTAAGTATTGGAGCCATTCTATAGTTTTCTACCATAAAGTGTTCCCCATTCCTTTCCATAAGCAATACTACAAAGTTTATTAAATTAACAGTATAGGGAAGTACAGAGTAAATACCTTTCCAGCCAACTCAATAATAAAGGTACCATGGAGGTTTCTGGGAGAAAAGGCAAACACTATCAGTGTTATCTACTATAGACAATCAAAAGCCAGCAGGCAATTTCTCACTATGGCACAAAAGGAATGGAGTCAAAATGATGACAGTCATATTTGATTTACCAACAGATAAAAATATGTAAAAATGTATAATTCAGACAAACAGCCTGATAACCCACATTTTTCAGAAAGGACTATTTATTTAATCAACTTGACTCAATTAAGAAAATCATTAAGCACCTCTAGTGAAAGCCTATTAATAATATAATAAGATTATGGAACATAATAAAATACTGTTATGTAGATATAATTAATAACTACTGTGTGTGAGGTACTGTTGTTGTTGTTGTTGTATACCAGAGTTAGAACCAACCCATAGCTGACCCTCTGGAAGGTTTTCAGAGGCAGTTAATTGCATGGAAGGAGACTGCCCATCCTTCTCCCGCAGAGCAGCTGGTGGATTGGTACCCCATACCTTCAGGATTACAGTGCAGCTTCTGGCCACTAGGCTACCAGCCAAGCAAAGGAGGTGCTATGTTAAGCATTTAAATAGACTGTCTCAAAACTGCCCTTTAAAATGAGTACTGTTATTGTTCTCATTTTACAAATGAAGAAAATTATGCTCAGGAAGGTTAAAGTAGGCATACAGCTATAGGAAGTATTGGGTCAAGATTCACAGCTAAGTATATCCATCTCTAGAATCTACTCTTAGTCACCATATTCTACTAAACTTAAAAAGAATTTTCTTTAAAAATCAGAAGAATGAAATAACTAGCTCATATAGATTCTGAGGCTTCACCTGACATACTTTGGTCATGTTGTAAGGAGAGACCAGTCCTTGGAGAGGGACATCATGCTTGGGAGGGTGGAGGGACGGCGCAGGAGGGGAAGGCCCTCTGGGAGATGGACTGATTCAGTGACTGGGGGAATCGGGATGACTGTCGGAGACAATGAGATTGGCACAGGGCAGAGCAGAGTTTACAGCTGTTGCACACAGAGTTGCTATGAGTGGCAAGCAACTCGACGGTACATAACAACAACAACAACAACAACAAATAAATTATCTGAGTATAAGCACTGTTCTCTTCTCTTTGAGGAGATTTGAACAGTGACTCGGGCCCTAGCTGGTTGGTTTGGGACTGGTTCTTCTCAATTCAGTCACAGTTAAGGAAGTAAAACCAGAACAGACCTGAATTTGTAAAAAAGAGCTGAACTGAAATAATCATCAGAATGGGTGAAACAATGCTAAAAACATCATCTCCCTCTTCAAAAACAAGGGCAGTAAGTGCATTACACAGCAAGCAAGTATCTTGATAGTGAAAACTGGAAACAATGGTGCCCACTCAAAGATGGTGGTCAACCACATACTGTGAATGTGTATTGTTCTCTACAGTCCTGCTAGGAATCTAATCTCCTGCAAGAGGCTCCCTAACACCTCGTATTCCATTAGAGGACTTTTATATGCCATTTTTTCTCTTCCAGCCCATTCCAATTAACCCAAATGTTTAAAATTCAAGTCTGTTCCAATTTCTCTGCGTCAGACATGACTGAAGCAGTTCAAAGTCCTAATATATCTTGCTCTCTTACTTTACACTACCTTACTGTTGCCTCAGCTAGAGTTGTAGGCAGCTGACTGCCGGTCTTTCTGCCACTGCACATCAGTGTCTAGCACAAAAGTCTGAGGGTCAGAGGCCCAGGGACATATCTCTATCCTCAGGCTCCCTGCTGACACTGGCAGGGCAGGAAACATGAGAAAAAGGCAGTGGGAACCTGATTTGAGAAACATACAAAAATCCAAACTCACTATTCTAAATAACAAAAGTATTCCTCACTTATAAAATAATGCACTTAGAAGATTCATTTAAATATTGGCTTTATTTCAGACAACTGACAAAAGAAAGAAAAGCAGACATTAATGTGATCAAGTTGAAAGTTATTCATTATTTGCAGAATACAATATTTTAAATATAATATACAAGCCTGAGCAAATATGCTTTATGAAAAGTTTACTTTAAAAAAATCTATTCTTTAGCAGTTACCTAGCTGCTTTCCGAAGTTCTCTTGGGAACATGATAAATAAAAAATGGCAAATATATAAACAAAACAATAAGTAAACAAACCTCTAATGTAGTAAATTAAATTTGGCTACTAAATTAAACACTATTCTTAAGAACATCTCAACAGGGTTTATTGGTATGAAGGCAATGGAAAAAACTCAGTTATAGGAGGAAAGTATTAAAAATAATATACAAAATTTTCTCTCAAATGAAAAATTTAAATTTAACATATACATGTACATTCATTCATTCACTACCTTTACACACGCCTTGTATAAATTAACTGATTAAATTCTAAACAAATCACACTCAAACCTATCCTCTAACACTTACAGTTTGTTTTTTTAAAGAAGAGCAAGATATTTTTAAAGAAGTATCAGTACAGAATCCTTTTAAATTATGACTTCCCCCCAAATATTTATACAGAGAGTTTACTCCCACCTAATCTGCAGGAGGGAAAAAAATTAAAGCAATATATCTTCTTCCCTGAATCTTTCCAAAATATTTAACTTGGGTCACAATAAAACAATTCTCTTACTCATATTTCATCAGAGTATGTAATATTTAATTAATGTACATAATTATAATAAAAAGTACATTGGCCTAAACAGGTTTTAGAACAAACACAACTGAAGCTTGGTAAGCAGACAATTCAAATGGTGAATGCAGAAGTGCTTACTGAACTGCCTGCTGCTAGCCACGAGGCAGGTGTTTACTTGCTGTGGCATCAGGAATAGACTTA